CTTCCCCTCTTTCATACATTTATTAAACAAAAATACCAACCACTCCAACACTGTATCCCCCCCTGCTTTTAACATTTCTGTCATGATCCCATCAGTGCCAGCTGCTTTACCCCCTTATATTCTATGTAATGCCTCACGCATCTCCCCCACACTCACATCCTGCTCTTCTTCACTCCTAAAAGATGATATACCTCCCTGGCCAGTGCATGAAATTACCGCCTCCCTTTCTTCGTCGACATTTAAAAGTTCCTCAAAATATTCCCGCCATCTACCCAAAACCTCCATCTCCCCATCTTCTAACTCCCCTACTCTTGTTTTTAACTGACAAGTCCATTCATTCCCTAGGCTTTCTTAACTTGTTTATCTCACTTCAAAATTTTTTCTTATTTTCATCAGAATTTCTTGAAAGTGCCTTTCCCACTCTATCATCTGCTCTCCTTTTACACTCTCTCACCACTCTCTTCACCTTTTTTTTACTCTCCATATACTCTGCCCTTCTTATAACACTTCTGCTGTGTAAAAACCTCTCATAAGCTACCTTTTTCTCTTTTATGACACCCTTTCTTCATCATTCCACCAATCACTCCTCTTTCCTCCTGCACCCACCCTCCTATAGCCACAAATTTCTGCCCCACATTCTAATACTGCATTTTTTAAATTTTTCCAACCCTCTTCAACCCCCCACTATTCATACTTGCACTAGCCCACCTTTCTGCCAATAGTTGCTTATATCTCACCCAAACTTCTTCCTCCCTCTGTTTATACACTTTCACTTCTCTCTTACTTGTTGTTGCCATTTTCCTTTGGTCCCATCTACCTCTTACTCTAACTGTAGCTACAACTAAATAATGACCCAATATATCAGTTGCCCCTCTATAACCATGTACATCCTGAGGCCTACCCATCTACCTTTTATCCACCAATATATAGTCTAACAAACTACTTTCATTACGTGCTGTATATCACCTTGTATATTTATTTATCCTCTTTTTCATAAAATATGTATTACTTATTACCATACCTCTTTCTACACATAGCTCAATTAAAGGCTCCCCATTTTCATTTACCTCTGGCACCCCAAATTTACCTACTACTCTCTCCACAACATTTTTACCCACTTTAGCATTGAAATCCCCAACCACAAGTACTCTCACACTTGGTTCAAAACTCCCCACACACTCAAAATGCAATTATTGGAAGAAAAATGAGTTAGTGAGAGTATGGGTAATGAAGTTGAAGAGGTATGGGGTAGATTTAAGAATGTAACATTAGAGTGTACAGTAGACATTTGTGGATATAGAAGGGTGAGTGCAGGAGGGAAGTGGAGCAGTCAGTGGAATGATGAGGTAAAGGGAGAGGTAAGAGAGAGAAAAAATTAGCATATGAGAGATTTTAGAAAGCAAAAGTGATAAAAGGAGGGTGGAATATATGGAGAGTAAAAGAGAGATTAAGAGAGTAGTAGGGAGTGTAAAAGAAAAGCAAATGAGAGAGTAGATGAGGTGCTGTCAACAGGTTTTGCTGAGAATATGAAAAACTTTTGGAGTGAGATTATCAGGATAGAGAAAGTCTAGGGAATGAATGGATATGACTATTTAAAATAGAAGAGAGAGGGGAGTTATTAGATGAAGAGTTAGAGGTATGGAGAAGATAGCAGGAATATTTTGCGAAGATGTTAAATGTTGACCAGGAAGGTATAACATTCTTTAGGAGTAAGGAAGGGCCAGATATGAGTGTGGATGAGGTGTGTGAGGCTGTGAGTAGAATGGAAAGGAGTAAACCAGCTGGGATTGATGGGATCAAGACAGAAATGTTAATAGTAGATGGAAATATAATTTTGGAGTAATTGGTACTTTTGTTCGATTTATGTATGAAAGAGGGGAAGATACCTTGGGATTGGCAGTGAGTATGCATTCATGGTTGTTTAACATAAAATGGGGTTGTAATAGAAGTGAATGCTGGGGTTTTGGGGGAGAGGTGTGGGTTCAGAATATGCAGAATCAAATACAAAGTGGGATTTGTCACAGTTGCTTTACACCAATGACTCTGTGCTTTTGGGAGAATCAGAAGAATTTAAATTAAAAGTGAACATAAAAAAGAGCAAGTGATGAGGATAACAAATTTAGGTAATGAAAGACTGGATATCTGAAGGTGTTCAGATATTTGGGAGTGGAATTGCCGGCAGATGAGTATATGAAAGGCAAGGTGAACCATAGTTGATGAGGTAAAAAGGGTGGGTGGTGCAGTGAGGCATCTGTAGAGACAAAGAACGTTATCCATGGAAGCAGAAAAGGAATGTAAGAGAGTGTAATGGTACCAACGCTCTTATATGGGTGTGAAACATGGGTTGTGAATGTTGCAGCAAAGAGGAAGTTGGAGGCAGTGGAGATGTGTCTGAGGGCAATGTGTGGTGTAAATATTATGCAGAGAATTTGTAATTTGGAGATTTAGGAGAAGGTGCAGGGTTACCAAAAGTATTATCCAGAGGGCTGAGGAAGGGTTGTTGAGGTGGTTTGGATATTTAAAATGGATTGGATAAAATAGGGTGACTTGGAGGGTGTAAAAATCTGTAATGAAGGTTGTACTAGGAGAGGTTGGAGGGAGGGGGTAAAGGAGGTTTTGTGTGCAAAGGGCTTGGAAATCCAGTAGACATGTGTGAGCATGTTAAATAGGAGTGAGTGGAGGCAAAAACTATTTGCCTCCACTCACTTTATGGGCTGTTGGGGGTGTAAGCAAGGTAATGGTTTGTGAAGGAATTAAAGGAAACCATTTAGCCAAACTTGAGTACTAGAGGTGGGAGGTACAGTTCCTTTTTGAAGGAGGGGTCAGGCTATTTGCAGTTTGGAGGAGCATCTGAACTGTACTGTCGCACACCTCTGGTAAGATAGTGATAGAGTGAATGATAGTGAAGTGTTTTGGGTCACCCTACCTTGGTGGGAGACAGCCAGTGTGTTAAAAAAAAAAAATCTTCATCGTTTATCTCCATCTCACTCTTAATTCTTTCAATAATAACTCTACCATACACTTTACCAGGTATACTCAACAGACTTATTTCCCTGTAATTTTTTGGACTTTTTTTTTTTTGTCCTCTTTGCATTTATACAAAGGAACTATGCATGCTCTCTACCAGTCCCTAGGTACCTTACCCTCTTCCATACATTTATTAAATAAAAGCACCAACCACTCCAAAACTATATCTCCATATCTTACATTATTTATTTTATAAAATGCATATACGAACTAGAATTGGATGATCTGGAAGCACCAATATGAGAATAGTTTTTCTCTCTTTCTGCCAGAATGGCTTTCTTGACAAAAATGTAATTTCTGCACTGAAAGGGAAAAAATTTTAGTCCCCAAAAATGTGATTTGGGGGGTAAGAGGGGTTGGAGAAAATGGTGGGTTATGTTAAATGTATTTTCTCTTCTATAACATAAATGATTTATGCTGTGAACAGGAGTTTTCAATTTCTTTTTTTATGATTTATGCACTGAAAGTATTAAGATTACTATTTTTTTTTTCTTATGACTTTGTTTCCCTCTTTATGTTGTCATGCATCATTTACTACCATATTATTCTGTTCTGCATTAATCATTCAGATTCTGTATTTTTTTTAGTTTTTCAGATTTTTTAGCTAGATACACTTGCTCTATAGCATTTTGTTGTCATATTATTACTTGACAGGTTATGTCATTTAGTACCTATGTCACAATTTTTTATGATTTCCTGCTTCTGTCATTATTAGCACTTTTATCATTCTTCATTCATCAATTTGTCATCCATGATATATTTCACATTAAGGCTGTCACTATGTGCATTACTTCAATACAAGTACAGGAGAAAGTCCAATGAAAATAAGACAGCCTTTGCATGCAGCAAATCTTATTGAATGAGGCAAGCAACATGTCGAAGATTGTCTACACCATTCTACCTACCACTGTCTAGCTACTTTCCATCTATTGAGAAAACTGGGACTGTGAAGACCATCATTGTCAATTTAAGATGAATAAAATGACAATACCACCGGTGGAACAATTCACAAATAACCCACACTTGGGAGAGAAAGCTCATAATGTTTTCCTTGGTGTGACTTGACAGTGGTCCAAGAAGGGCTGAAACCTCTTTATAAGCTTCCTCTCTTAAGTGTGGGTTATTTGTGAATTGGGAATATTGTGTGTGCCAAAGAATAACTCCAAACATGGGTCCTGTTTGGGGAAAGGAAGCAAGGTAGAGTGGAAAAAATTGCTAATGGTGTAAGAAATGAAATGCATATTACTCTACAGAACATGTTTCACATAATTGTATCTTAAGGGCCAGAACCTTCAAGTAGCAAAAAGTGGCCAGGATTGGTACTTCCTCACACCCATTACATTTTAAGAAATTTAAGGCTCCATCAGCAGGACTGGCCATATTAATCATTAGTATTTGGTTAATGCATTTAGTAAAACATGAAAGTCGCACAGTGAATAGGACTGAATTGATGCATGAGTTTCCTTGGTCCTGGCCAATAAGGGGCCCTGCTTGCTGTAAAAACCAAAAAAATTAAAAAAAAAAAAAAAAAAAAAAACGTGATATGAATATCACATTCAGATTTTATTTTTGTATTTTTAACAGTTGATATTATATTGTTCTACCATATTTTATTTGATGTATTGGATTTCTCAGCTCCATTTGTGATTATGGTAAGAATATTTTGGAAATCTTGATGATTTTTATAGATTTTAAGGGAGCTGGAATTATTATTTGGGCATAGGGCCCTACAAAACTTAATTCAGCCCTGCAAGAGTGATATTTTGTGAAAAATAATGTAGCATTTATTACCAACAATCTGCACTAAGGAAATCATGATAGATTGTGTTTTATTTTTCTTGTTATTCCCTTTATATGACAGAAGTACTTCACCACCTCACGCGTCACTTTCTTTGTGGGTTTTTTTTTACACATTATTAATTATTTATTTATATTTCCATAATATATATTTTGTTTATATTTTCATACCTTAGCCTTTTGAGTGTGGAAATGGGAGAGTAGATGAAGGTGAACAGTGTGACTGTGGACAGAGAGAGGTGTGTGACCTCAATGATCCTTGTTGTGACCCCCTCACATGTCGTCTTAAGCTGGAGGCAGAGTGCGCCAGTGGTCCCTGCTGTGATAACTGCCGGGTAAGATGTTGTATTCAGACTTCACCTTATAGAAAAATATGTGAAAATACAGTTTACTTTACTTGTAAATTTTGCACAAGCTGGAAATTATAAAATAGGTTTGACTTCATGACTGTAAAGTAAAAGTGAAACTAAAACATCACTTGTATTTCTACACCCTACAGCTACGTCCCAAAGGTTACATGTGTCGTAAAGCACAAACTGAATGTGACATTCCAGAATTTTGTAATGGACTTCATGGCAGCTGCCCCATGGATATATACAAGAAAACTGGCAACAAGTGTGGAAATGGAAAAGGCTACTGCTTTAAGGGTATTTGCCCTACACTAAATAACCAGTGTGAGCTTATTTGGGGCTATGGTGAGTATAGTTTCATCATTATTTGCTGTGTGAGTGAGAACAATATAGAAACTCCAGCTCTTTTTGTGTATGTGTGTGTGTAAAATTACAGAAATAAAACTATGTTCATAGTGTGTCTTCTTGTTCATCATTTCTTAAATATTCCAGTGCTGGTTTACTACTGGTACCTCTTTTTATCCCATTCCAGTAGTCCATTGCTTTTGTGAAAAAAATCATTCTATTAATTAGCTATTTTTAATTACCTATTTGTAGATACAAGGGAAGAACTAAACCAGCTATGCACAGGAGTTTCTCACTGTTTTATATATGTGATTGTCCTGTGACAATTTTGTCAGTGATGAATACTCGGCCCCACTCTGTGTCTGATAACTTTAATGTTTTATTTCAAAGCTAATACTCTTCAAGAAGTTGGTTTTCACTTTCTCCTGTTTCATTTGTGTGGCATTTATCTTTAAATTCCATCGTTCATCAAGGACCCCAATGGAAATAAGTTACTTTGACTTTTAGTTTTTTTTTTAACACGTCGGCCATTTTCCACCGAGGAAGGGTAACCCAAAAAGAAAGAAAAAATTTTCATCATCATTCAACACATTCACCATCACTCACACATAGTCACTGTCTTTGCAGAGTTGCTCAGATACAACAGTTTAGATGTTCCTCCAAACTGCCAATATCCCAAACCCCTACTTTAAAGTGCAGGCATTGTACTTCCCATTTCCAGGACTCAAGTCCGGCTAACCAGTTTCCCTAATTCCCTCCACAAAATATTACTATGCTCACCATCCAACTGCCTGTTAGGTCCCAAAAACCATTCATCTCCATTCACTCCTATCTAACACACTCATGCACACTTGTGGAAGACCAAGCCCCTTGCCCACAAAACCTCCTTTACCCCTTCACTCCAACCTTTTCAAGGACATCCCCTACCCCATCTTCCTTCCCCTACAGATTTATATGTTCTCCAAGTCATTCTACTTTGTTCTATTCTCTCTAAATGACCAGACTCTGATCCACCATGAAACCTGGTCTCAGACCGAGGCAGTGGGGGCTTTGACCCCTGAAATCCTCTCCAGGTAAACTAGCTCAACAACCCCTCTTCAGCCCTCTGACTAATACTTTCAGTAATTCCACATCTCCTAATTTCCACATTATGAATTCTCTGCATAATATTTACACACACATTGCCCTTAAATATGATATCTCCACTTCCTCCAGCTGCCTCCTCACTGCAGCATTTACAACCCAAGCTTCACACCCATATAAGAGTGATGGTACCACTGTACTTTCGTACATTTCCCTCTTTGCCTCCATGGATAACATTTTTTGTCTCCACAGATACCTTACTGCACCACTCAACTTTTTTCCTTCAATTCTATGGTTTACCTCATCCTTCATAGACCCATCCACTGACAAAACTTCCAAATATCTGAAAACATTCACTTCTTCCATAATCCCTCCCTCCAATGTGATATCCAATTTTTCTTTATCTAAACCATTTGATACCCTCATCACCTTACTCTTATCTGTATTCACTTTCAAATTTCTACCTTTACACACCCTCCCAAACTCATCCACTAACCTTGGCAATTTTTCTTTAGAATCTCGCAAAATCACAGTTTCATCAGCAAAAAGTAACTGTGTCAATTCCCTTTTTATATTTGATTCCCCATAATTTAATCCCACCCCCTCTTCCCAACACCCTAGCATTTACTTCTTTTACAACCCCATCTATAAATATATTAAGCAACCATGATAGTAATCTTCCTCTCTCCTACACACCCAAACCTGAGCCTCACTATCCTCATAAAAACTCTTTACAGCATTTAGTAACTTACTACCTATTCCATACACTTGCAACATCTGCTACATTGGCCCCCTGTCCACTCTATCATATGCCTTTTCTAAATCCATAAATGTAGTGGAAACTTCCCTACCTTCATCTAAATACTGTTCACATACATGCTTCAATGTAAACACTCTTCCCATACATTTTACCTGGTATACTATTAAACCTATAATTTTTGCAATCTCTTTTGTCCCCCTTGCCATTATATAAAGGAACTATACATGCACTCTGCCAATCCATAGGTACCTTCCCCTCTTTCATACATTTCTTAAACAAAAATACCATCCTCTTCAACACTATATCCCTTTCTCCTGCTTTTAACATTTCTGTCATCATCCCATCAGTTCCAGCTGCTTTATCTCCTTTCATTCTATGTAATGCCTCTTGCATTTCCCTCACACTCACATCCTGCTTTTTTTCACTCCTAAAAGATGTTATACCTCCCTGGCCAGTGCATGAAATTTCCACCTCCATTTCTTCATCGACATTTAAAAGTTCCTCAAAATATTCCTGCCATCTGCCCAATACCTCTAGCTCCCCATCAACTAACTCCCCTACTTTGTTTTTAACTGACAAATCCATTCATTCCCTAGCCTTTCTTAACCTGTTATCTCCAAAATTTTTTCTTATTCTCATCAACATTTCTTGACAGTGCCTCTCCCACTATCATTTGCTCTTCTTTTGCACTCTCACCACTCTCTTCATCTTTCTTCTACTCTCCATGTACTCTGCCCTTCTTATATCACTTCTGCTTTGCAAAAACCTCTCATAAGCTACCTTTTTCTCTTTTATCACACCCTTTACTTCATCATTCCACCAATCCCTCTTTCCCCCTGCACACACCCTTCTACAGCCACAAACTTCTGCCCCACTTTTTAACACTGCATTTTTAAACCTGTCCCATCCCTCTTCAACCCCTCACTGTCCATACTTGCACTAGCCCACCTTTCAGCCAATAGTTGCTTATATCTCACCCTAACTTCCTCCTCCCTTAGTTTATAAACTTTCACCCTTCTTACTTCCTCTTGCCATTTTCCTTTTGTCCCATCTACCTCTTACTCTAACTGTAGCTACAACTAAATAACGATCTGATATATCCATTTATGAAGGGGTTCAGGGAAACCGGCAGGCCGGACTTGAGTCCTGGAGATGGAAGTACAGTGCCTGCACTCTGAAGAGGGGTGTTAATGTTGCAGTTTAAAAACTGTAGTGTAAAGCACCCTTCTGGCAAGACAGTGATGGAGTGAATGATGGTGAAAGTTTTTCTTTTTTGGGCCACCCTGCCTTGGTGGGAATCGGTCAGTGTGATAATAAAAAAAAAAATATATATCCATTGCCCCTCTATAAACATGTACATCCTGAAGCCTATCCATCAACCTTTTATCCACCAATACATAATCTAACAAACTACTTTCATTACGTGCTGTATCATATTTTGTATGTTTATCCTCTTTTTCATAAAATATGTATTATTTATCACCAAACCTCTTTCTACACATAGTTCAACTAAAGGCTCCCAGTTTTCATTTACCCTGGCACCCCAGATTTACCTCCTACTCCCTCCACAACATTTTTACTCACTTTAGCATTGAGATCCCCAACCACAAGTGCTCTGTCACTTGGTTCAAAACTTCCCACACACTCACTCAACATTTCCCAAAATCTCTCTCTCACCTCTACACTTCTCTCTTCTCCAGGTGCATAAACACTTACTGTAACCCAGTTTTCATATCAAACCCTTATTTTACTCTACATAATCCTTGAATTTATTTATTTATTTATTTATTTATTTATAATTTGAGCACACTTACAGAGGTACAAAAAAAAATACAGATAAGAGCAGCATGCCAAAGCCACTTATACTATGCATAGCATTACGGGCTGGCTTAAAATTAACTGTAAGTTATTACATTTAAGTCCCTCTTTTCGCATAATTATCCTTCAACATTATTGCTACTCTTTCCTTAGCTATAACTGTATTAGAAACCCCTGACCTAATCCTATTTATTTCTCCCCACTGAAACTCTCCCACCCCCTTCAGCTTTGTTTCACTTAAAGCCAGGACATGCAGCTTCTTTTCATTCATAACATCCACAGTCATCTCTTTCTTATCATTTGCACATCCACGCACATTCAAACATCCCACTTTAATGGTTTTCTTCTTTTTCTTTTTAGTAAACCATACGGGAAAAGGGGTTACTAGTGCATTGCTCCTGGCATTTTAGCTGTCTTTTACAACACACATAGCTTATGGAGGAAAGATTCTTATTCCACTTCCCCATGGGTATGAAAGGAAAAGCAATAAGAACTAGAACTGTTAAGATAAAATCAAAGAAAACTCAGATGAGTGTGTATACATAAACGTGTACATGCACATAAACAGCTTGCCTGCTTTTATGTACAAAAAAGCTTCTCAAGCATTGTCACCAATTATTGCAACGCTCTTTAACAAATCCATTGAATCAGCTACCTTCCCAACAATCCTCAAAATAGTGAGGGTCACTCCAATCCACAAAGGAGCTGACCAAGCTGACTTGAATAACTATAGACCAATATCTAACTTACCACTGCTCTCTAAAATCTTTGAAAAATTAATTCATAGACGGATCTATTCCTACCTCATCTCACACAACATATTAAACCCTTGTCAGTTTGGATTCAGGAATAATAAAAGCACGAATGATGCTATCATACACATGCTAGAACTAATATATACCACACTCGAAAAGAAAGAAGTCCCGCTGGGCATTTTCATTGATTTACGTAAAGCTTTCGATACAGTCGACCATGAACTGCTGTACTCCAAATTAACGCACTATGGTATCAGAGGCCACTCCCTCAACTACCTAAAATCATACCGACTTACGAAATCGTAATGACACGATTGCAAACAAACCATACCCCGGCCGGGATTGAACCCGCGGTCAGAGAGTCTCAAAACTCCAGACCGTCGCGTTAGCCACTAGACCAGCTAGCCACAATAAGATTCATCCAACTAGGTATATTTCTACACCATAGGAAGGTTAGCACAGGCACCACTGTGACCACAAATGCAAGTTTTTACAGACGAATCTCCAGCTAGCATGGCCATGACGAACTCTAGCTCAAGTCCCCTGGTCTAGTGGCTAACGCGACGGTCTGGAGTTTTGAGACTCTCTGACCGCGGGTTCAATCCCGGCCGGGGTATGGTTTGTTTGCAATCGTGTCATTACGATTTCGTGAGTCATGTTGACGGCAGTGAGGGGACTTGAGCTAGAGTTCGTCACGGCCACGCTAGCTGGAGATTCGTCTGTAAAAACTTGCATTTGTGGTCACAGTGGTGCCTGTGCTAACCTTCCTATGGTGTAGAAATATACCTAGTTGGATGAATCTTATTGTGGCTAGCTGGTCTAGTGGCTAACGCGACGGTCTGGAATTTTGAGACTCTCTGACCGCGGGTTCAATCCCGGCTGGGGTATGGTTTCCTAAAATCATACCTTAGTAACAGAACTCAATTTGTGTATGCAAATGATGCAAACTCTTCTCCCCAACCAATCACAGTAGGAGTCCCACAAGGAAGCGTCCTTGGACCACTCCTCTTTCTCATCTACATCAATGATCTACCGAATGCATCACAGCTACTCAAACCCATATTATTTGCAGATGACACTTCATATGTATTTTCCCACCCAAACACAGTCATACTAGCAAACACAGTCAATGCCGAATTGCAGAAAATATCTGCCTGGATGATGACTAATAAATTTACCCTGAATACCAATAAAACCTATTTCATTCAGTTTGGAAACAAAGCTGCAAATGATCTGATTAACATAACGATAAATGGATCATCAGTCACAAGACTCACAGAAGGAAAGTTCCTAGGTATCCACCTTGACAGTAGCCTTAAGTTCCGGACACACATACAACAAATCACCAAGAAAATCTGCAAGACTGTAGGCATACTATCAAAGATAAGGTACTACATTCCACAATCAGCTCTCCTAGCACTGTACTATACACGCATATACCCTTATCTTACATATGGAATTTGTGCATGGGGATCAACAACATCCAGTCACCTAAAACCCCTCACAACCCAGCAAAAGGCAGCATACTCCACCAATTTTCAAAAGTCTGAATCTGCTCACCATTAAGAACATCCATACTTATTCATGTGCCTACTACATACACAGAACAATACATGCAAATATAAACCCTCCACTCAAACTTCTCCTCACCAACTTAAACAGGACACATGACCACAACACAAGACACAGATCTCTTTTTTAATATACCTCGTGTCCATATCACACTATGTAAAAACTCTATGCACATAAAGGGCCCTAAAATATAGAATTCATTACCAGAATATATTAAAGTAACCAGTCTGAAAATCAGTTTAAGACTCTTCTCAAAAGTCACTTAATCACCCTAGACTAAATGCTAAATATTCAATACACATACACTCACCTATGTACTCCCACATCATAACTTCAACAATCACTTTGAACCTCTCATCCATTGTTGACAGGAATATAATTGAACTATTGTTTTTCACAATAAGCATTTTAGACTATATGAATATATCCTTTGTCTTATACAAATTTAATTCACTTATAATTAATAATCTACTGTTCAACTATGAAATAATTACTATCCTACTGTACAACTATGATAAAATCCTTAGTATTAAGTAGTCTGTAAGCCAATAATGTTAAGTTGGCCCATAATGTCTAGGCATAATAGAGGCTCTCTTTGCATTGCAACCACTATTGTAAATATAAAATCTCAATGTACTGTTTGCAAAGACATAAAATAAATAAATAAATAAATAAATAAATGTGTAGTGTGACCTAAGTGTAAGTAGAAGTAGCAAGACATACCTGAAACCTTGCACATTTATGAGACAGAAAAAAGACACCAGCAATCCTACCATCATGTAAAACAAACACAGGCTTCTGTTATACACTCACTTGGCAGTACGGTAGTACCTCCTTGAGTGGTTGCTGTCTACTAACCTACTAGGTAATTTACACTATGTAAGATAATTCTACTTACATATGTGTACATGTGCATAAATAAATATACATATCTACTTACATCCATTTCATTCCTGAATAGCTTTGACATAGAGGAGTTTGTTGATCAAAAGCTGAATTGTTTGCTAGTTCATAGTTTTTTGCTCTCCAAGTGTTTTATCTGCTTTTCTCTGGAACTTTTTTTACAAAGTAATTCTATAACTGTTTTCTAACCTGACAAGCCTGCTTTAAATATCTGCACATTTTTTTACCTTTTTCTATTTGTCTGCCAGTTTACCTGCTTGTAGTGAAGATCTAAGAATTTTCCAGCGAATGCTGAGACCTGTGTGCTCTGGGATGTATGTACTGAGACCTGTGTGCTCTGGGATGTATGTACCAAGACCTGTGTGCTCTGGGATGTACAATATGTGCTTATATCTGTGTGCATTGGGATGAATATGCTAAGACCTGTGCTCTGGAATATGTGTTATGGGGATACTGCTAGAACCTATGTGCCAAGGGATGCCAAAGAGTACTGTTGGGATTTGTGCAGTACAGGTAAGAATGTACATAAACCGTCCCTCACTACTCCGTACAGCCTCTGCCACACTACTAGGGAGCAGCTCTCGCTCTCAAGCAATATCAGTGAATGACACTCAACACAACAAATAATTTTCCCTGAAAGTCATGACATATCATTCTGACCATTATTTGGTGAACAAGCTTATAATCATCTAATATAGATTTGCACCTGAGAGAGTGAACTGGCTCATCACATTAACAGGCAAGAAAGCGGTAAAGCTCAAAATTTGCAATATGAGACATTAACAGATTTTCTTTGTAGTATATTACTCAGGAAAATGATCATCCCTAGATTGATTCCTCCAGTAACCAATCTGTTAAACTGGTCGCAACATATTCGTATTTCATTCTGGCCAACTGAGTGTGATGTACAGTATATATACTGTAATATGTACTCCCCACATTTTGCTATGTTAGACTTTCAAACAACTTCCTGAATAATGGCCATAACCTAGTCCATCTTTGGAAAATAATCCTGGTTCAAAAGATTCCCAGGTATAGTGTCGCTTGTGGCAAGGATTAAAATTGCAGTGAAGACATCTAAAGGACTGTATAGATGTAAGTAATTGTATGAGTATATCGATTTTTGCCTGACCAACAGGTTTATTTATTACTGTAATTACAAATAATGTTGCAGTACTACCACTATCAAAATGGTAAATTTTAGAATTTTACTGGAGCTGCAGAACTAATAACTAGTCAAGCTAGGGTTAATTGTTAGCAAAATAGGTTAAGAATCAAGGGATCCCCACCAACAACTGCAGTGTAAGCAATATAAGCAAGCACTTAGTATGTACAGTGTCATCTATGGCTACCAGGTAAACTATTTAAAAAAAAAAAAAAAAAGGTAGTCTCATAATTTTGTGTGGACTAAAAGAGGTGCCGGACAATCCATTACTGGCAAATCAGCATTGTACCTGTATCCTAATGGGCAAATATTGGATATCCAGTATTCCTCATATATATCACGTATATACTGGTCAGGGCGCTTCTGGCAGGACAATGATTAAATGAATGACTGTAAATGCTGTTCCTTGTATTTGGGCCACCCTTCCTCAGTGGGAGACAGCCAGTATATTAAGAAAAATACTAGTGAAAGCTGAAAGCTTCTAGAAGTTTGCTGAAATAACATTTAAACTTCACAGGGTCAACATGGAAATCTGGCCTCAGGCTGGGTTGTTGGGGTAGAATAACCCTCAACACCAGTCACAAGTACAGGCAGGTTAGGTTCTGGGCTACAGCTGTAAAGCAAAAATTGCCTTTTTTCACTTTCAAACGTATATAAAACCCTGATAACATGTTTACACTATCATATATTAAGTGAGCAATAGAGCTAGGCCAAAAAATGCATATACGTACAGTACACACATTACTTTAAAATATTTTTGTCCTTAGCTTGTAGTGAGTTGTGAATATGTTTATTGTAAGAAGTCTGAATAAATGAAGAATCGGTATAATTGAAAAATGCTGTATTAGGAAAACACTGTAAAGCAAAGCGCTGTAAAGTGGGGCTCTCTTTTATGTGGCTGACACAATGGTGGCAAGAGTATTGTTCACCAGTGAGCACTCCAGCTGATATTTTCAAGCTTCCCATTATTTTTACTACTAATGATATTTTCAGTAAAGCTTGCTTGGAAGCTTAAAAATACACTAAGAAAGAAATATATTATCTCCCTAGGTGGTCAGGCATCTGATGAAACGTGCTACAAGCAGTTTAATGTTGATGGTGTCATCTACGGCAACTGTGGCCGCCATCACAATGGCAGCTATATCAAATGTGAAATTGGGCAAGTACCATAAATGAACATGAGTATATTGGCATATAACACTTTTCTTTTGAGTACATTTTATAAAATTACCACCTTTTCACTTAATTCACTTTACTTCAGCATTTTCTAATTGTAACCTTGAGAATTATTTTTTTTCCTGTATAGTTAAACTAAACTGATATATGCTTAACAATTCTCAAATGGGCAAAATTATTTTTGTGCATTATTCTCAGTCCACACCAGAATTTGAACCTGTGCACTCTGCATCAAAGTACTGTGTACTCTGATGCAGAGTGTGCAGGTTCAAAATCTGCTGTGGAGTGAGAGATAATGTATGTAAACTGATGTGCATATGTACAGGTTGACCATCACTATTCCGGCAATCAGCAATCTGGTTCCATCAGTAATCTGGCACTAATTTCGGTTAGCATAATTTAAAAATTTCTGGGGTTGCCTTGCCAACCTGCTGCTACTGTTTGGTGGTGCTGCTTGCTGCATAAGCCATTCCAGTTTCTTTTTCTTCATTTATTGTTATAACCTGCTCACTTTTAGCCCTAGCCATGGTTCCAATGAATAAAAAGAGATGCTTCTCGTTGTATAAAGCACATACACTGTACATTGTCTATAAAATATAAGGTGGCATTGGAGCCACTGTCAGTCACCATGAGCTCGGCTCACTCAGATAAGCTGTGACCAGTAAATTTTACCCTGCCTTGGTGGGAATCGGCCAGTGTGATAATAAAAATAAAAATGAGAGAATAGGTCTGTGCGGTAAGTGTGCACCATATAAAATAAAATCCTGCAACATGCAGTGCATAATGAGAAATGGCGACCATGCTTTTGATGTAAAACAGCGACTTTTGCATTGAACTTTTATATGGTGTGTATGGTTGTATTCTCATTTTTTTGGTCTCATTTGATAGAATGGAAGACCATATTACAGAAATGGATGTAATTTTGATTGGTTTCATTATGGAAAGTACCTTGAAATTGAGCTCAAAGTAGCGGAAATCTTCTATTTTTGCTAATGTTCAGGAGTAAACAAATAACGTCATCGTCCAATACATGCCCAACTGGCCGGTGTGATATGCAGTCACGAATGGGCTGACATTATTTATACAATTTTTACAACAATGCAGTATTTTGCATAACAGTAAATCTTCTATTTTTTGTGTGAATAAAAATTCAAAATGGAAAGCAAGCATAATGTAAGAGGGGCCTGGAGACGTGACTAATGAACAGAGAAAACTGTTATTTTAGTGCCAGGAATGTCTGTATTGTTTATTCTGAACCTTATTTTGAAATAGGCATTTCTTGAAATTTGTGTGAAATTGGCCAAATTACTGATTTCTGACAACTTTATTGGGTAGCTGAAATAGGTAAGTAGGTAGTTTCTTGTAATCAATCAACAGAATAGAAAGAATACTAGCAAAATAGCTATGAGCTTGGTAGACAGGAACAATGGAATGGGCCAAAAATAGGGCCTAAAGTAGGTGAAATCGCCGATTCATAAATATCGCCGTTGTGTTACGTGTATTCTACCCTAACCACTCTGTAATCCAGCAAAGTCATTAATCCGCCCTACAGGTCCCAATGATGCTGGATTAATGATGGTCAACCTAGTATATCATTGTTGCCACTCGTAATTTTCTTTACTCTTACACAGTCCATAATGAAAGTAATATCTGCATCAAAGATTAATGAGTATGTAAAGAAAGACAGTATGCAGAGCAAGTCATTTCTGACAAAGATTCAGTCAGATTATTTATTTCAGCATGATACAATGTTTGTACAGAGATGGGTGACATTTAGGTGTGCATGCAGAAAGCCTCTTAGTTAATATCCAGAGCGTCTCAGAGAATATGAATGTGTAAATTCAAGAATTATGTGGATTAAAGTAAAGGTTGGATGCGAAAGTGGGTCATAATAAGCGTGTATGCACCTGGAGAAGAGAGGAATGTAGAGGAGAGAGAGAGATTTTGGGAGATGTTAAGTGAATGTATAGGAGCCTTTGAACCAAGTGAGAGAGTAATTGTGGTAGGGGACCTGAATGCTAAAGTAGGAGAAACTTTTAGAGAGGGTGTGGTAGGTAAGTTTGGGGTGCCAGGTGTAAATGATAATGGGAGCCCTTTGATTGAACTTTGTATAGAAAGGGGTTAAGTTATAGGTAATACATATTTTAAGAAAAAAGAGGATAAATAAGTATACAAGATATGATGTAGGGCGAAATGACAGTAGTTTGTTGGATTATGTATTGGTAGATAAAAGACTGTTGAGTAGACTTCAGGATTACATGTTTATAGAGGGGCCACAGATATATCAGATCACTTTCTAGTTGTAGCTGCACTGAGAGTAAAAGGTAGATGGGATACAAGGAGAATAGAAGCATCAGGGAAGAGAGAGGTGAAGGTTTATAAATTAAAAGAGGAGGCATTAGGGTAAGATATAAACAGCTATTGGAGGATAGATGGGCTAATGAGAGCATAGGCAATGGGGTCGAAGAGGTATGGGGTAGGTTTAAAATTGTAGTGTTAGAGTGTTCAGCAGAAGTTTTTGGTTACAGGAAAGTGGGTGCAGGGAGGGAAGAGGAGCGATTGGTGGAATGATGATGTAAAGAGAGTAGTAAGGGAGAAAAAGTTAGCATATGAGAAGTTTTTACAAAGTAGAAGTGATGCAAGGAGGGAAGAGTATATGGAGAAAAAGAGAGAGGTTAAGAGAGTGGTGAAGCAATGTAAAAAGAGAGCAAATGAGAGAGTGGGTGAGATGTTATCAACAAATTTTGTTGAAAATAAGAAAAAGTGTTGGAGTGAGATTAACAAGTTAAGGAAGCCTAGGGAACAAATGGATTTGTCAGTTAAAAATAGGAGAGGAGAGTTATTAAATGGAGAGTTAGAGGTATTGGGAAGATGGAGGGAATATTTTGAGGAATTGTTAAATGTTGATGAAGATAGGGAAGCTGTGATTTCGTGTATAGGGCAAGGAGGAATAACATCTTGTAGGAGTGAGGAAGAGCCAGTTGTGAGTCTGGGGAAAGTTCGTGAGGCAGTAGGTAAAATGAAAGGGGGTAAGGCAGCTGGGATTGATGGGATAAAGATAGAAATGTTAAAAGCAGGTGGAGATATAGTTTTGGAGTGGTTGGTGCAATTATTTAATAAATGTATGGAAGAGGGTAAGGTACCTAGGGATTGGCAGAGAGCATGCATAGTTCCTTTGTATCAAGGCAAAGGGGACAAAAGAGAGTGCAAAAATTATAGGGGGATAAGTCTGTTGAGTATACCTGGTAAAGTGTATGGTAGAGTTATTATTGAAAGAATTAAGAGTAAGACGGAGAATAGGATAGCAGATGAACAAGGAGGCTTTAGGAAAGGTAGGGGGTGTGTGGACCAGGTGTTTACAGTGAAATGTATAAGTGAACAGTATTTAGATAAGGCTAAAGAGGTCTTTGTGGCATTTATGGATTTGGAAAAGGCATATGACAGGGTGGATAGGAGGGCAGTGTGGCAGATGTTGCAGGTGTATGGTGTAGGAGGTAGGTTACTGAAAGCAGTGAAGAGTTTTTACAAGGATAGTGAGGCTCAAGTTAGAGTATGTAGGAAAGAGGGAAATTATTTCCCAGTAAAAGTAGGCCTTAGACAAGGATGTGTGATGTCACCGTGGTTGTTTAATATATTTATAGATGGGGTTGTAAGAGAAGTAAATGCGAGGGTCTTGGCAAGAGGCGTGGAGTTAAAAGATAAAGAATCACACATAAAGTGGGAGTTGTCACAGTTGCTCTTTCCTGATGACACTGTGCTCTTGGGAGATTCTGAAGAGATGTTGCAGAGATTGGTGGATGAATTTGGTAGGGTATGCAAAAGAGGAAAATTAAAAGTGAATACAGGAAAGAGTAAGGTTATGAGGATAACAAAAAGATTAGGTGATGAAAGATTGGATATCAGATTGGAGGGAGAGAGTATGGAGGAGGTGAATGTATTCAGATATTTGGGAGTGGACGTGTCAGTGGATGGGTCTATGAAAGATGAGGTGAATCATAGAATTGATGAGGGGAAAAGGGTGAGTGGTGCACTTAGGAGTCTGTGGAGACAAAGAACTTTGTCCTTGGAGGCAAAGAGGGGAATGTATGAGAGTATAGTTTTACCAACGCTCTTATATGGGTGTGAAGCATGGATGATGAATGTTGCAGCGAGGAGAAGGCTGGAGGCAGTGGAGATGTCATGTCTGAGGGCAATGTGTGGTGTGAATATAATGCAGAGAATTCGTAGTTTGGAAGTTAGGAGGAGGTGTGGGATTACCAAAACTGTTGTCCAGAGGGCTGAGGAAGGGTTGTTGAGGTGGTTCGGACATGTAGAGAGTGTATCAGTCTGTAGTGGAAGGAAGGCGGGGTAGGGGTCGGCCTAGGAAAGGTTGGAGGGAGGGGGTAAAGGAGGTTTTGTGTGTGAGGGCTGGCTTGGACTTCCAGCAGGCATGCGTGAGCGTGTTTGATAGGAGTGAATGGAGACAAATGGTTTTTAATACTTGACGTGCTGTTGGAGTGTGAGCAAAGTAACATTTATGAAGGGGTTCAGGGAAACCGGCAGGCCGGACTTGAGTCCTGGAGATGGGAAGTACAGTGCCTGCACTCTGAAGGAGGGGTGTTAATGTTGCAGTTTAAAAACTGTAGTGTAAAGCACCCTTCTGGCAAGACAGTGATGGAGTGAATGATGGTGAAAGTTTTTCTTTTACGGGCCACCCTGCCTTGGTGGGAATCGGCCAGTGTGATAATAATAAAATAATAAGGCGATAACAAATTGATTGCTTATAGTATATACACGCTCTCTGACTGGTAATAACAAATTTAGGAACTCAAGGAACATGAGAACTGATGATCAGTGTAGTGCTCAGTATTGAGCAAAATGATGTCAGATTGAAGACATGCTCTTCTTACTGTATCCTTTTACCATACATATTGGCACATTTGCCAGCCATCCTTAAGTGAGTGTACTGTACATATATAATTATTTAAAATTATACTTTAGTGCAATATACAGTGCATATGTGCCATTACTGCTTAATCGTAAATGACAGTTAATCAGTGTATAAAAAAGGATTAATGTTACAGCAGCATAGCTGGAACAAAACAGCTGTAATATGAATAAAACGGCTGTCATTTGGAATAAAACAGCTGTAACTTGGAACAAAACAGCTGTAACTTGGCAATGGCCCAAGGCAGACCAAAAGTTCATTTATAATTTCCTCTCCAAATTTTGGATTAGTTGTAAATATTAAAAGGGAATTCAGGCATTCATAAATTAATTATCCTGTAAATTAGTTATAAATAAAAGCTTCATTTGTGTTTAGCTCTGAAACATCTGATCCCTCAGCATATAACACTATTAACATCATAACTGTTCAAATGAACATTGGAACACACTGTTTATGTTAATTTATCCCTATATTATATTTCACCTGTGCATTTATTAAAACCACACTTTCCTTTGAACTTTCTGGTGTTTTTTCTTCTTCAACAATTCTGTTATTTATATGAATATTGGAGCTAAAGCTCAGTAATCGCCCACATAGAAACAGAAACTCAGGAGATTAATTGATCTGTACATTTCAGTCCCTTCTGGAATCCCAGAAGGGGATTAAAATATACAGATTAATTAATCTCCTGAGTCTTTGTCTTTGTGTTCATTATATTTTAGTTTTTCGTTGGAGCTAAAGTTTCAAGCATATCAGGATACATAACAAATCACTCTGAAATGTCTGTATTCTGCTTTCATTTGCAGTCGTGAATAGTCATTGTGTCACAGCCTTCAACTGATTCCCTTCTGTTACCCATTCATGTTCAGTCTTTTAGCATTTAATACACCAGCCAGTATGTTTCATTAGTTCTGACCCCCATTCATAATGCTGCTTCTTTCTGACCTTATTAACAGTGCTGCTCCCTCCTACCACCATTCATAATGCTGCTTCTTTCTGACCTTATTAACAGTGCTGCTCCCTCCTACCACCATTCATAATGCTGCTTCTTTCTGACCTTATTAACAGTGCTGCTCCCTCCTACCACCATTCATAATGCTGCTTCTTTCTGACCTTATTAACAGTGCTGCTCCCTCCTACCACCATTCATCATGCTGCTTCCTCCTACCACCATTCATCATGCTACTCCCTCCTACCACCATTCATCATGCTACTCCCTCCTACCACCATTCATCATGCTGCTTCCTCCTACCACCATTCATCATGCTGCTTCCTCCTACCACCATTCATCATGCTACTCCCTCCTACCACCATTCACATGCTACTCCCTCCTACCACCATTCATCATGCTGCTTCCTCCTACCACCATTCATCATGCTACTCCCTCCTACCACCATTCATCATGCTACTCCTCCTACCACCATTCATCATGCTGCTCCCTCCTACCACCATTCATCATGCTACTCCCTCCTACCACCATTCATCATGCTGCTCCCTCCTACCACCATTCATCATGCTACTCCCTCCTACCACCATTCATCATGCTACTCCCTCCTACCACCATTCATAATGCTGCTTCCTCCTGCCACCATTCATAATGCTGCTTCCTCCTGCCACCATTCATAATGCTGCTTCCTCCTGCCACCATTCATCATGCTGCTTCCTCCTGCCACCATTCATCATGCTGCTTCCTCCTGCCACCATTCATCATGCTGCTTCCTCCTGCCACCATTCATAATGCTGCTTCCTCCTGCCACCATTCATCATGCTGCTTCCTCCTGCCACCATTCATCATGCTGCTTCCTCCTGCCACCATTCATCATGCTGCTTCCTCCTGCCACCATTCATCATGCTGCTTCCCTCTGCCACCATTCATCATGCTGCTTCCTCCTGCCACCATTCATAATGCTGCTTCCTCCTGCCACCATTCATCATGCTCCTCTCTCCTACCATTCATCATGCTGCTTCCTCCTGCCACTATTCATCATGCTGCTTCCTCCTGCCACCATTCATCATGCTCCTCTCTCCTACCATTCATTATGCTGCTTCCTCCTGCCACTATTCATCATGCTGCTTCCTCCTGCCACTATTCATCATGCTGCTTCCTCCTGCCACCATTCATCATGCTCCTCTCTCCTACCATTCATTATGCTGCTTCCTCCTGCCACTATTCATCATGCTGCTTCCTCCTGCCACCATTCATCATGCTGCTTCCTCCTGCCACCATTCATAATGCTGCTTCCTCCTGCCACCATTCATCATGCTCCTCTCTCCTACCATTCATCATGCTGCTTCCTCCTGCCACTATTCATCATGCTGCTTCCTCCTGCCACCATTCATCATGCTCCTCTCTCCTACCATTCATTATGCTGCTTCCTCCTGCCACTATTCATCATGCTGCTTCCTCCTGCCACTATTCATCATGCTGCTTCCTCCTGCCACTATTCATCATGCTGCTTCCTCCTGCCACCATTCATCATGCTCCTCTCTCCTCCTACCATTCATCATGCTGCTTCCTCCTGCCACTATTCATCATGCTGCTTCCTCCTGCCACCATTCATCATGCTCCTCTCTTCTCCTACCATTCATCATGCTGCTTCCTCCTGCTGCTATTCATCATGCTGCTCCCTTCTACCATTCATCATACTACTACCTCCTACCATTCATCATGCTGCTCCCTCCTCCTACCATTCATCATGCTGCTTCCTCCTTCCACCATTCATCATTTTATTTGTGCATTGTTCCAGTCATGGTATTGTGCCTTTTTATTATTTTCAGCATTACTTCTAATACCAGTGATCGCTGCATGTTGTGCTGTCTTGGCGTATTAGTATGTGCGTATAACGTGATATCTTTTATGCTGCAGGAACATCATGTGTGGAACCTTGCAGTGCCAGCATGGGATGCAGCATCCAGTCACTCCCAACACAGACCAGAGTTACTCGCGAACCATAGTTGCCATGGGCGGACATGAATATGAGTGCAAGTTAGTCTTTCCTGCATTCTTTAATATTTGGATTCTTTTAATGAGTGGGCATTAGTGATGTAGGTAGCTCAAGCTGGCTGAATAAAACCAGGGTAGCTTGTTTGAGTCTACCTTTGTCAACAGTATAAAGATGGATGACAGTCTGGGGCGCTGTAAGCAACTGCTTAGCGTCTTGCACCGGAACTCATAGATGGGTACTGTATTGGTGTTATAAAATTGTGTAATTGCAAGAACTAGGAGACTCATAGTTTACCCTCTTTAAGGTGAATTGTTATGCACATATATATTATCAACTAGGAGGAGGTAGTCTTACGAAAAATTAAAAAAAAAAAGAGTAAATTGATTTGTAATGAATCTCCCAAATAAAGATAAAAATTTAACTTTGTAGATAAGCAAGCACATGTATAAAAAAATATTGCTTTTATCTTGAGCACCTTAATGAATAGGCTTCATGGCTAAAAATGCAAGACCAAGGTTCAGTTGTTATTCAAATTGTTATAGAAAAACCAGGTTTGAGTGAACAAAAAAAAATCTGGTCAAACAACCACCCAACCTTCAGATTCAGCTTTCAAAAGAATGGAATAGCAGGCTGTGTGCAGGCCAGACAAGATGCACTTACATGCCTACAAAGAAACATTGTTCAGGATAAATAAATCACTGTTCAGGTTGTTGTCTTTGGAGTGCAGTTAATAAATAAAGTTACTTAACCTCATAATTTTATCCTTTGGATTGTTTACTGAAGTGATTGTAATTCATACTTGGGACACATATCTTATGTAGTGCTTCATACTGGGGAGACATATCTTATGTGTTGCTTCATACTGTGGAGGCATATGTTATGTCTTGTTTCATACTGGGGAAGCATACCTCATGTGTTGCTTCATTTGGGGAGACATATCTTATGTATTGCTTCATATTGGGGAGATATATCTTGTGAAGTGCTTCATACTGGAGAGACATGTGTGTTGCTTCATACTGGGAAAACTTATCTCATGTGTTGCTTCATACTGGGGAGATATAACTTATTTGTTGCTTTGTATTGGGGATATATATCTTATGTGGTATTTCATACTGGGGAGACATCATAATAGGCTAGCCTCTCCATTGCAGTATTGCCACTTCCCCAGTAATACTAGTTTGCAATCTAAAGAAAAAATTGTGGTGGTGCATTAAGGCATCTGTGGAGACAACAACATCCATTGAGGGGAAAAAAAGGGGGAATGTATTACAGTGTATCAACACTCATATATAGGTATGAAGGATGTGTTGTGAATGTTGCAGCAAGGAGGAGGATGGAAGCAGTGGATATGTCATGCATGTGGTGTGAATATCATGCTGAGAATTTGTAGTTTGGAGATTAGGAAGAGGTGCAGAGTTACTAAAAGTATTATCCAGAGGGCTGAGGAAGGACTGTTGAGGTGGTTTGGGTGTTTAAAGATAAGCAGTATAGGATGACTTGGAGGGTGTATAAATCTCAAGTGGAGATAAGATGGGGTAGGGATCAACCTAGGAGAGGGTAGAGGGAGGGGGTAAAGGATGTCTATGAGGATTGGACATCCAACAGGCATGTGTGTGTGTTAGGAGTGAATGGGTGCAAGTGGTTTTTATGACTTGACATGCTACTGAGTTGTGAGCAGAGTAACATTTATCGTAAATGGGAGGATTCAGGAATCCAGTTAATTGGACATGAGTCCTGGAGGTGTTAAGTACAGTGCCTGCACTTTAAAGGAGGGGTGAGTATTTTGCAATTTTGAGGGGCATCTGAGCTGTAATGTCAGCACACCTCTGGTAAGACAGTGATTGAGTGAGTGATGGTAAAAGTGTTTTTTCTTTTTCAGATCACCCCCCCCCCACCTTGGTGGGAGATGGTTGGTGTGTTAAAAAAAAACACCTTATCTTCAAGCATATATATAAGGTTTTAGGATGCAATAAAGTGTTTCTTACATCACAATATGCATACCTGTGCCAGACTAGGTGTTTTCTCTTTCTTAAGAGAGTAAGAGGAGCAAGCTTATTCTAGTATATATATACATGTATATCAGTTTAACCTTTTGAGGGTCCATCTCGTAGTTCTACAGCTTTGAAGCCTGGGTCCAAGCCGTAGTTCTGAGCCATGAGCTCAGCTCACTCAGATAAGCTGTGAGCTGTAAATTTGGGCCTAGATAATAGAGGATGCATATATGTGGTAAGTGTGCACCATATAAAACAAATCCTGAACCAAGCAGTACATAATGAGAAAAAAAAATTGTGACTGTGTTTTTGGATTAAAACAGTGGTTTTGATGTGTATTTTCATATGTTTTTTACTGCTATTCACAGTTTCTTGGTCGCATTTGATAGAATTGAAGATATATTACAGAAATAGATATGATTTTGTTTGGTTTTAGTGCTGAAAATGGCTTGAAATTGAGCTCAAAGCAGTGGAAATGTTTGATTTTTGTCTATGTTCAAGGGTAAACAAATCACATCACACATCCAATACACGTCAGCTGGTGGGTCTAATGCGCATTCATGAATGCACTGATATTATTTATACAAATATTACAATATTGCATAACAGTAAACCTTCTTCAGAACCTGTACTCCCTGGAATGCAGGCAAGAGAGATACATGATTATATACACCTGGAAAATCCTAGAGGGACTAGTACCAAACTTGCACATAAAAATCACTCTCTATGAAAGCAAAAGACTCGGCAGACGATGCAGCATCCCTCCAATGAAAAACAGGGGTGTCACTAGCACGTTAAGAGACAACACAATAAGTGTCAGGGGCCTAAGACTGTTCAACTGCCTCCCAGCATACATAAGGGGGATTACCAGTAGACCCCTGGCTGTCTTCAAGCAGGCACTGGACAAGCACCTAAAGTCGGTACCTGACCAGCCTTGTACGTTGAATTGTGTGCAGCCAGCAGTAATAGTCTGGTTGATCAGGCCCTGATCCACCATGAGGCCTGGTCACTGACCGGGCCATGGGGGTGTTGACCCCCGGAACTCTCTCCAGGTAAACTCCAAGTAAATTTTATGGTGTGAATTAAAATTCATTATATGAATAAAAAATCAAAGTGGAATTCATTTGTAAAGCGTGGAAACATAACTAATAAACAGAGGAAATGTTATTTTAGTGCCAGGAATGCCTGCATTGTTTATTGGCGCTATAAAAAGCTCCATCCTGTCACTTCTTCTCCATATTGTTTCATACTATAGAACAATGCTCTTCTCCAGACTGAGGGACTGACCACCTCAAAACTTTAAGGGTGATGGACTGATTACATCGTCTTCAAGTATCTTCTGCTTCTATCAACTTTTCTGTACTTGACTGAAGAAGCCTACTGTGTAGGCGAAACGTTTCACAATAAAGATACCTAACTGTTGCATATGTGTCTTACCTAACAACCTGTCGGTATTTTATACCATTTTAATGTTCATTCTAGACCTTATATTGAAATTGGAATATTTTGAGCTTTGTGTGAAATTGGCCAAATTACTGCTTTCTGATCACTTTATTGGGTAGTTGAAATAGTTGATAATCCTTGAATTAATACATTTATAGTCCCTCTTTTCCTGCCATAGCTTATCCTTCAACATTATTGTTACACCTTCTTTAGCTCTAACTCTATTTGAAACCCCTGACATCGGCCGATTCCCACCAAGGTAAGGTGGCCTGAAAAAGGAAAACTTTCATCATCATTCACTCCATCACTGTCTTGCCAGAGGGGTACTTTACACTACAGTTATAAAACTGCAACATTAACACCCCTCCTTCAGAGTGCACACACTGTACAGTGGTCCCCCGCTTTTCGTAGTTCCCGGCAATCGTAAAATTCGCCAATCATAGAGGTATTTTCATATAAACATGGACTCGCTTTTCATAGGTTGACTCACGAGTCATAGTTTGTCCGGGACACGTACCCACGGCATGAGCCGAGGGCGGCAGCCAGTCTGGCATTGTTTACCAGTGAGTGAAGGTCCCCTCACGTGCTCCAGCGAAATATTTCATAATATTCCATTTATTTTAGTGCTTGCAAGTACTAAATAAGCTACCATGGCTCCAAAGAAAGCTCCTAGTGCCAAGCCTGTGGTAAAGAAGGTGGAGAAATACGATTGAATTTAAGAAAACCATCATTGAACAATTGAAAGTGGTACAAGTGTGGCCGAACTGCCCCAGGATGTATAAGAAACCCTACACAACCTTATGTTCCATAGTGGCCAAGAAAAATGAAATAAAGGATGCTGTTGTTGCAAAGGGAGTAACTATTGCTGACAAAAATGAGATCACCAGTACTGGAAAGGTTGAGAAGTTATTATTGGTGTGGATAAATGAGAAACAATTAGCAGGAGATACTCTTATGACTTCGTTATATGTGAAAAGGCTGGGCAGTTGCATGAAGATTTGGTAAAGAAATTTCCCTGCAAATAGTGGTGAAGTGAGTGAATTTAAGGCCAGCAAAGGCTGGTTTGAGAGATTTAAAACTGAAACTGGCATACACAGTGTGGTAAGGCATGGTGAGGCTGCCAGTTCGGACCACAAGGCGGCTGAATTCCAGGAGTACATAGAGGCTGAAAAGGACTGAAACCTGAACAAGTGTTCAGTTGTGGACGAAACAGGCCTCTTTTGGAAGAAAATGCCAAAGAGGACCTTCTTTTACACAAGAGGGAAAGGCAATGCCAGGACACAAGCCTAGAAAGACAGGCTGACACTAATGTTCTGTGCTAATGCTAGTGGGGATTTCAAATGAAGCCATTACTATGTACCATTCTGAAAATCCCAGAGTGTTCAGGAAAAACAATGTTATGAAGAGTAAATTGGTGTGTTTTGGAAATCTAATAGTAAGCATCGGGCCCCGAGGGAAATTTTCGTCGAGGGTTCAATGAAGTGTTTGGCCCCAGTGTGAAGGAGTATCTCCTGGAAAAGAAATTGGGTCTCAAGTGCCTGCTAGTAATGGACAATGGACCTGCTCATCCTCTTAACTTGGATGACCTAATTTTCGAGGAGTTTGGGTTCATCACAGTAAAGTTCTTGCTCCCGAATACCACTCCTCTCCTCCAACCCATGGACCAGCAGGTTATTGCAAACTTTAAAAAAACGCTACACAAGAGCAATGTTTCACCAGGTGCTTGACTGGGGACCCCCAGACACTCACTTGACCCTAAGGGAATTTTGGAGAAGAACACTTCAGCATCCTCCACTGCATAACCCTTATAGGTATGGCTTGGGAGGGAGTGACTTTCCCGGACTTTGAACTCTGCCTGGAGAAAATTGTGGCCAGATTGTGTCGACGAGGGATTTTGAAGAATTTGGACTGACCCTAATGAGCCTATGTCTGTTTTAAAATCAATTGTGGCACTGGGGAGTTCCAATGGGGTTGGATGTAAGTTTTGGGGGATGTGGAAGAATTGGTGGAAGACCACAATGAAAAAGCTCACCACTGAGGAGCTGGCCCAAAAGCTTCAGCAGGAAGAGCAACAGATCGCAGCTCAGATCTTGCTGCAGAGGAGGAGGAAGAGAGATGGGAAAAAGGTGCCTTCTTCAGAAATTAAAGACATTTTTAAATATGTGGGGTAAGATGAAAGCTTTATGGAGAAACATCACCCTAACAAGGTTGTTTTTCAAGCCAGGTTGGCAACATGTACAGTGACAAAATCTTGGGCATTTTAGGGAAGTGTTAAAGAGACGCCAGAAACAGAGCCTCCTCCACAGTTATTTTTTTGAGACAGGACTCCAGTGACTCTCAAGT